GTCAGCCCAGATCAGGGATTGGGATTGGGCTCAGCCCAGATCAGGGATTGGGATTGGGGTCAGCCCAGATCAGGGATTGGGGTCAGCCCAGATCAAGGATTGGGATTGGGATCAGTCCAGCTCAGGGTTTGGGATTTGGGCTCCCTGCCCCAGGTCAGGCTGCTGTATCTTGTGTTTTAGCATTTCACTCGATCCACATGACGCTTCCTGGTTCCTGTTACAAAGGTATGTGCATTATACATGCGCTATATAAAACATAAAAAGAATATTACACTTTCCCTAGCAGTTATCCCGAACATTTGCGTCTCCCCAGAGGAATCCGCGGATTTTGCCGATTTTCCGGGGGTTTGAGCCCACTAGAGCGGGGTGTGCCCAGTGCGTGTTCTGCACTGCACCGCTGCCAGCGGGACTAGCACACCTTCAAGAGCAATTAGTGCTGACTGCAGATAAAAAAAATAACTGACTCTGAAAAACGCCAATCACTTGTATAAAAGTTTTCAAGTTTCGGCTATAGCAATAAAATAGTTATAATAAAACACTAATAAAAATTAGAGCAATAAGAATTGGGACAATCAGAGTTAGGACAATAAAGGACAATAAAAAGTAAGGAATTACAGATGCTTGGATGATTTCCTCAAGAAAGCACACCTTGCTAACAAAGGATTAACTCTTAAAAGCAACAGCCTTTTGCATATTCATATATCTCATACATGATGCAAATATTCCTTTCAAACTAGGAATTTTCTGTCAACTCTTCCCCTCATCCTGTAAATGGATCTTTTCGGCTGTGGCGTGTCTGGAAGAAGTCTGTATGGTCCAATAAAGAGGAAATAAATCTTGTTTTGAGGGTTTTTTGGGTGTCTTGTTGCTGTTACGTCTGTGTGAAGAATTTCTTGGTTATCTTATTCATTCCTTGTGTTGGTCACAAAAAGGTATCTTACATCACATAGCTTCTATTTTAATATTATGCTACAGCCTAAAACTATATTTAACACACTATTTAAAAAGGATTAATACAGTACTACAAAACAACTTTCCAGCATAGCACATACAGTATTCAATTTAATATTTGCAAACAGCAAACCGTTTAATATGCATTTTTCACACTGATGAACACCGTTTTAAAGCCAGGAAATAAAACCAAAAGGGACCAGTATGTAGTTTTAAAATTAAGATCACCTTCGTTGCTGGTGTAGTTAATTACAGCCCAGCCACAGCATGAGGTCCTCATTGCTCCTGCAACTTGCTTTCTTTCTGCTTTGATGAAAGTGTGCTGCCCTGTCTTTCCCAGCCTGGAATTTTGTGTGTGTGTGTGTCCAGGCAGGATCAGCCACCCTTAAGATCCAGCTGTGCAGGCAGTGGAAAAGTGTGTTTAACACCTTCCTGCTCAATCAGTCAGGCAGCATTTACCTCAAGTATTGTTTATTTGGCAGAGGCCACACCTGTTTAAATGTGCACTTGGGATTTGTTCCAGGTTGACATTACTGGGCTGGGAGCTCCCCTGTACCTGGGCACCAGGTGAGTTATGGGCAAGACAGCAGCAGTGCAAATAACTGTAACTTTTAATAAAATACTTTTCCAAGAAACAGCAAATTGTCTGCATGCAGCACAGTGTTCATCTGCTCATACTCATACCCCAGGAAGGAGGTTTTTCTGTGATTGTACACACACAGTTGATGCTATCTTTGTTCACTCTTTCTTGCCTGTATGGTTTGGGTAGTTAATACTACTTGGCAGAATGTCAGGGTGACATTTCCCTGGTTGTTTTAATTTGAATGTAAACCTGGGGAGAGAAAGGAAAATTAAGCCCTGTTCACTCTTAAATTCTGTTACATCTGCAATATTCTGAGTGCAGGTGGTTCAGTTTGATTTGTTCTCCATAAGATGAACAGATTGCTTAGCATTTACCGCTCTGCTTTCTTGTCAGTGTTAAATGATTACCTATGCGATATTTAATGTTAAATATTTATGTATTTTGATGGCTACAAGCAGGGCAGCATCCCCTTCAGTGAGCCTGCTCAGCTGACCAGCACTGGATGTCATTTCCACCAGGCTGTGTTGCTCACAGCTGTGACTCTTACAGGATATTTAACACCTGAATAAGTGGCTCCATCAACTTCTGTTGCTGGATTAACTCAAATACTTATTGGTTTACGTTCAGGGAAATGTTTAAATGCCTGGATGAACTGAAGCCTTTGAAGGTTAAGGTTTGTGGTCAGTTATTTTATTTGGCTGCAAATTTTATTCCCTGTTATTTCCACTGCAAAGCTTCCAATTGTTATTCTTGAATCAAAATGACAATCTGAGAAACTGGCTCAAGTGGGAATGTTAGACATGCACTGTCAGGATAGCATAAGAATTTTCCCTGGTTTTAGCTTTGGTGGCTGCTGTTAAGCAGAAAACACTGTTTTCTCACAAGACATCCCCCAGAAACTCACAGGTGATGAATGAATTTAAACTTGATTTGCACAGCACTTCACTTAAGCTTATGTCTTCAGGTCACAGAATTGTAATTTCTAGGGTTGAAGGTATGAAT